GTCAAAACCTATGTCTTATCTAAGTAAAATTAACTGACTCACACTTAAGAATGTTTGCTTGAGCAAGAGTATTGCAAATAAATTGCATTTCAGTACTACATGTATTTATAATTAAAAAATGATCATTATAAAGAAATGAAAAAACCTGAAGGCTTACATTTTTACAGAATCACAGAAAGATGCCACTCTTGTTTTTCCCTGAATGAGCAATGAGGCCTTCTAGCACTTTTAACTGTTCTTCAGAAGTCCAGTCAAGGATCTAAATCTTTCCATAGTAAACATTTAGTGCACTCTCTATGCACTAGGTGGTCTTTGATTCAGACATTCAATAACATTCTATACTTTAAGAAAGCAACCTAAATAATCTTCTAATTAAATAACTTAGTAACAAACAACTTTATTAATATACTATTGCCACTAATTGGTGTCCCCTTTTTTCTCCCACCTTCTCCCCTCACAAAGGGCTTTTCTTCTCCTCCTCCTTTCAATGCTGTCAATCTAAAAGACATTTTCATCATGTGGTAATTAAAAAGTAAAGTCTTACACACTCCATTTTAACACTAATTTGTCTGTTTCTGACTGTTTCCTTTAGGTACTGTGAGAGTCAAGGCAGCAGGCAAAACCACCACATGGCACTTAGCACAAGCCAAGGAAAGCTCATCTCTCTGCTATGCATTTGCAGGTCATGTATTAAAAATGGAACAAAGCAACAATTTGCTCCATCATTTTATCTCCTGGATTTGCAATTGAAATAATGATTTTTTTTTCTTTCATTGTCAGTTTATAGGAAAGTCAACATTCAACTGTGTCCTTGATTGAACTGTGGTAACTTACAACAATATACCTATGACTTTCTCTTGTATATCAAGCACTTCACCTAATTAACGAAGTCATCATCATCTTACTCAAATGATTAAAAAAACCCTCATTTCAGGCATCAAAACCAGTTCATAAACACCTTTAATTTCCTGCTTCTTCAGTTAATTATGAACATGTCTGATTCTTCTCTGAGAAGCCCACCTTAGGAGTATTTATCTGATACTTCCCATCATCTACAGCATTATATAGCACTTCAAAGTAAATCAGTATTTCCCTGAGCAGATTTTAAGTAAATTGTTACCTTTTATTGTTATGTATATTTACGCCACTCAACATCAACTGCAAATAGAAATGCATGGGCTCAATCAGCATGTTCTTAAATCATGTGTTTATGCAAATTAATATTGACACATTTTTAAATAGTACGTAAAATTCTCATCTACTTTATGTAAGAACAAAAGTCACATTTTCAAGGGTTGTGCCACCAAGAACATTAAGTTCTAGTCATGCCTTTAAAACCTAAAGAATGAGGAGAAAAGGATATTCTGACCACACAACTGCAGGCACCATGCCTAGCCAAGCTCAGTTTTCTACACTACTTCAGAAAACAAAAAGGGTTTCTAACTGAAGGACATTCTAGATCCCCTCTACAAATGTCTTTCTCCAAAGCCTGCCCTTCAGGTGAAGTTAGGTAGCATGGATATTCCTTTGTGCAAAAAACACTTCTGAAGTGTTGTGTAGAATTTAGCTCCTAAAGCAGTAAGAATGTCTAGTTCTATTTCAGTACTTTATCTCTGCAATATTCACAGAAAAATACTGAATCAACTACAATATTAGCACAATCTCATATACATGCCAGTTTTAAGTCTCTTCTATCTAATCTTGCTGTCATTAACAGACAAGAATTACATGCTCTGAGACGCTAAGTTGACAGAATGATAACTGATGGTCAAATGTTTTGAAAATTTGATGGTTTAATTATTTAGCAAGTAAATTTCCTGTTGTCATTTCTCATGTTGCTCCCCCCAACAACAACAAAAACCCAAAAACAAACAAACAAGCAAAAAGAGAATTCTCTTTTTTAATAAAATGAAATGATTTCTTTCAAAGATTTCAGAGTCATTGTGTTTGTCAGGAATGGATTAAATCATCTCACTGTCTCCAGTGCCCCAGATCATGAATAACAAGCAACATACCTTACTTTCCAGTAGAAGCAATGAAATGCGTGATTTAGAAAATGTTTTTTCCAAAATAATTTTCAAACTAAAAAAATCAAACAACCCATTGTTAAGTTTTCAACTAGTTCTACAGCTACGATGTTGAAGAAGGCCACCTAGTCTGTATTTTAGAGAGTGCCTACTGATTTGCATCTACTATCTAAACTGAAACATTTGATTTCACGAGAGAATTGGGCAAATGGTCCTATGTTGATGTAAATGTCCAATTTTGTACTACAACCGCATGGATGTGAAGCAGTGACCTTTAAAAATAAATTTTGTCCTGTATTTTCCATAATGTTGGCCTTTATTTTCCTCACCTGTGGGTAGCCAAGAAGTTTAAATATTAAACTGGTAATTATAGGAGCAGCCACTATATAAATATTTGTTCCAACACTCACAAAGCACCTGGACAAGCTGATCTGATAAATTAGGAAGTTGTTTTGTAAGGTTACTGGGGAAGAAATAAAAGCTAGACCAGACATGTCAAAGAAATGGTGACAGACTCCAGTAGAGAGAGGTCCAAAAAAATATTCAGTTTTGGTTCCACAAAGAGCACTTGACATTCCAGTAAGATTCATTTCAGAGAAAATGACTGTCCAGGTAAGAATAATGATGAGAGGTTTTTTTCCCATGAGCAGAAAACACAAATAAGATTCTACCTTACACTGATGTGTGTTGAACACTTTGCTAACTTGTCTCCTTCACCTGTCAAATAAACCCAGGCAGCAGTTACACAACAGCCTCCAGGTGATCATGCTGAACTAAAGATCAATTATAACTCTTTTCCCAAGTCCATTTTCAGCAGACCACTTCTAAAACTTTTTTGTAGACATTGGATGTACAAGACTGATTTTAATTTAAACTCTCTCAGTGTAAAAAAGTACTATAATTTCTTTAGCTGCAGATATCTCATACAATTTTGATTTCATAGCACTGTAAAGCCACCAGTTCTTTCTTTAGGGAAAAAAAAATATAATTCCACACTTTGATTCAGAAATATAATAGCTGGCAGGAACAGGCTGTGTTAACTTAGTAGGAATTCATGAGTAAGTCATAATATTTTCAAACAATATACTTTGATAAAAATATTGACTTGACTTAGCTACATCCTATAACTACAAATAACATGAATATTCTCACTAGCACAAATGTTTACTGAAACAGTTAACCTTTCGCAAATATAGCTGTACAGTAAAAATGAAATGAACAGTCAATGTTCATACTGGAAATGGTCCTCCAGAAATTACAGCCTATCAATTCAAATCCTGAAACTGATGAGTGCTATATTGAAATAAATGCCTGTTGGTTTTTAAACTGAACAAATTAACTAACAGACTCCATGCATTGCTACTTATTTTTCAAATGATTAGTCATATTGATGAGCCCAGATGTCTACAATACCTGCTGTTATACCTTGACAAGAATATGAATATACAATAAGAAATAATCTGATCCAATGATGTCGGCCAGCTGTCTACAAAGTATCTGGAAATAAACTAGTCCCTTATAAGATGCTATGGTAAACTACAAGTACAAAAATAAGTACCCTAAAAAAAATAAACAAAGTCATCAAATGGAATTAGATAAGTTCTCCCAGTATCTTGAATAAAAATACATAGTATTTTTAGTAGTTTTAGGTTTTGGTCTTGATTGTTGGTTTGTATTTGTGCTCACATATACCTTAGTAAAAGCAACCAGAATGATTCCTGATTGCATAGCTAGTAGTATAGGACTCTGGTTTGGGGTGATTTCTAGCTTTGATACTGAAAATTGGAACAAGAAGCAGGGCACTAGAACTTGTCATTTTTAATGCTGAAGACCTCAGGAAAACATACAAAAGATAAATGTGTCACTTGTCATAAGATCAATATATCAGTTTCAGATAGAAGACATCTAACACTAAAAGCAGCAATGGAACATACTATCAAGCTATTGATTGAAGTCAGCACTTAACATAAGCACATGGGCAGAAGGTATTTTAAGGAAAAAATAATCAAAATAATCTTATTGCAGAACTAAACAAGATTGTAGCAATTGAGCCACCTCAACTTTTCACTGTAAAAGACTTGATTGGGAAGTGCTATTTCTTTTCATTTCCTTCTCTCAAGGTAAAATATCTCTTAACCAAAGTAAACAATCAAGGACACAAATTCTATTTACAGTTTAACCCAAACTAGCTCCAAAGTCTCAAGGGGATTCTCAAAAGTTTTAAATGGGATTTATATCACTCTAGCTGTTAGTTCATAAGTACACGCATTCTAACAAAGAAATTACTCAAAACCACACAAGAGACACCTTTTACTGCAGTGAATGCCATAGAAAACCCTTGGCAATTACTTATGATTTGACAAAGCTATAATTATATTCAAATAAAGTGAAAACTGTATTTTTTCAGTGGAACTTTAAACCACTTGTTACCAATATCTGACTTGTGACTATTTTATACATAATTGTTCACATTTGAAGGATTTCCTAAGTTAGTAAAGAAAAAGATCAAAAGAACATAAAATCATGACTGGTCTATTGAAAGTACCACAAATCGCATTGCATAGCCAATTCAAACTTGTCTTTGCTTTACAGTTCTGACCGCTATCTACATTTGTAACACTGTGCTTGTTTTCCAAGTTGGCTTCATTTTTGCTATCACAATTTTACTTTTAGCCTATATTTTTACCACATAATATGAAATTACTAAACTCAGTGTTTGTAGCACAATTCAAAATCATGGTGTCAGAATACAGGAATAGCCGGGGCGGGGGCTGGAAGTCAGTTTTTCTTACTTGCTCTCTCTGCTTCTCTCTTGCAGTGGGAATTAGTCTGCTATTTTACTTCCAAAAGAGAAAATTGGGATTGACTCAGCACTGATGCAACAAACCAAAAATCCTCCACTAATGCTGGGACACAGTGTTTGTTAAAAAATGTTCTTTAAAATAAGAATACAGAAAATCATAGAAAACTTACAAGTACTCTGCCAGTTAAAGTCTGGGCAGATATCATGACTCCTGCCCAATCCTTCACAGAAGTCATCCATCCCACTTCTGCTGCCACATTCTCCTCTTTTTCATCTGTTGGTTTGCAGGCCCCATCTGCCTGTGTATCTCCACCACCATTGATCTTCTGGGCCTCCTGCAAAGTAAGTATTTGGGTTAGTTAACATTTAGCAATTTGACAGTAAAAGTTAGTGTACAGTTGTGGCTAAGAAATGCTATGAAAAAAGCAAATCAGTCTTCCTAGGTTCCTCGTAGATGAAATTAAGCACCTACTTGGCCATATCTGTAGAAATAACAGAAGCAGAAATGTTCTATGAGGTACCAGACTAACAATTAGATAATAACACTCTCCTTGACATTAAATTTTAAAAACACATACGTGGCATCAAATATGCTATATGTTCCTTCCTCATAAGCAGCATAATTGCCAAGAGCTATGTATGCAATTATAGAGCTACATGTGAGCTTGTCAGACATACACTGAAGGTCCTTTTGATGTATTAGTTCAAAACAACATGTACTAGGTGTGAGAACATAATTTACGTGCAATTTTAATTTACTATCACTAGAATTAATTATCTGAGTAAACCTTCACTGAGAAGCATGATGTTACAAGACAATAATTATCAAGTGTGAGGGGAACAAAATACACCATAGAGAATCTGCAGGGAGCTGCCATGCTATCAGTGAACTAGGGTTTCAATGAAAGTGTTTAATATATCACAGGAATTCTTCTGTCAGTAAGTGGCTCTCACAGAACAGACAGCTAGAATTTAAAGAGGAGCCTCAGCTGCACCAGCTGACTGATGAGTCACATGCATTGGAATTCATACCAGTCTCTCACGGATGCTGCAGCAAGGATGTTGTGCTCTGTAACTGCCTGCTATGTGCTACAGTCACGGATGCTGCACAAAAAAATCAAGGGAAATGATCGGAAAAGCCAACCTGGATTGTATAGCATTTAAAACATATCATATGCAAAGTATCAGACTGTGCTGTGAGCATGCCTTTGGTGACAGCATAATACTAACAACTTCCTGAATACTTGACAAGTTATGCTAAGCAGGCTTATGGGAGACAGCAAAATTCAGTGCTGAGGCAAGTACCAAGCACTTGAACTGCACCCATAGATCTACATTAATGTTTCAAGCACTCCGCACAGACCAACAGCTTGAAAGACCTTGTTTATACAGGACTTGCCTATAGGCCACTAAGCAGGAAATCAATTGCCATTAATCCACTTTGGGATATCTGTTATACAAGCAAAAATGTTTGACGTCAGTTCAACAATTATTACTACAGTAGGAATACTACACTACCACTGTCAAAACATATAACTGTGAGGTAGCCTTGAGGACACAGCTGGACATAAAGATAAGGGCACTTCCTGAGAGCAGTACTGAACTAACAACGCAATTGCACTGAATCTGTCAGCAAAGGACAGTAGAGCAACACTAAAAATGTAATATGGAGACCAATAGCTGTTTTTAGAAAAATCTCAGTATTGCAACTTAATTAGCTAATCAGATTCTTCTCTGTTAGTCTCTCTCCCAAAATCTGTGCTCTCTCTTCTGACTAGCCATTACAGCACAATGCATGATGAGGCTATATTGATAATAACAAATTATTCAGTTACAACAGTAATTCAGTACTTCCTAAGCAAATAACCAGATAGAAGATAAAAGCTACTTTGAAAGACATATACTGCATTGCTCACACACAGAGCACAACCTATAGAGATGAGCTCATCACTTAGGACACTGATGTATGGTACGGCACAAGGCATTTCCAGGAGAGTAACATTTGGCTAAGGACAATTTATGACCCATATCATCACCAAGCCATATAGATCAGTGCCAAAGAAATGCCTTGGCCACCATCAGTATTTTGATTATAAACCAGGAAAGAGAAACCTAACTTCTTGCCCACTTCTTGTGAACAATGAGGTGGACTGAGACCTGGCTGAATAGCTGAACTCAGAGGTCCTGGTGAACAAGCAGTTACCCATGAGCCAGCAATGTGACCTTGTGGTCAAGAAGGCCAGTGGTATCCTGGGGTGCATTAAGAGAAGCATGGCCAGCAGGTCAAAAAAGGTTATCCTCTCCCTCTACTCTGTCCTAGTAAGGCCACGTCTGGAGTTCTGTGTCCAATTCTGGGCTCCCCAGTTAAAGAAAGACAAGGAACTACGGGAGAGAGTCCAGTGGAGGGCTACAAGGACAATTAGCGAACTGGAGCATCTCTGTTATGAGGAAAGGCTGAGAGAGCTAGGTCTGTTTAGTCTGGAGAAAAGATGACTGAGAGGGGATCTGATCAATGTCTATAAATATCTAAAGGGTGGATGTCAAGAGAACAGGGCCAGACTCTTTTCAGTGGTGCCCAGCAACAGGACAAGGGACAACAGGCACACACTGGAACACAGGAAGTTCCATCTAACACGAGGAAAAACTTCTTCACTCTGAGGGTGACTGAGCACTGGAACAGGCTGCCCAGAGAGGTTGTGGAGTCTCCTTCTCTGGAGATATTCAAAACCCACCTGGATGCCATCCTGTGCAACCTGCTCAAGGTGATCCTGCTTTAGCAGGGGTACTGGACTAAATGATCTCCAGAGGTCCATTCCAACACCTACCATTCTGTGATTTTATTTTTTTTTTTTTTGAGCGGCTGTATGTACCAGGCATAATAATATAACAAAATATTGAGGTTTAGGCAACCTAGACACATCTCCAAGGCCCTGGGGGCACTCAAGGCCTCACTGGCCCTGGCCGCTGTCCCCACACCCTGCCTGTGGCCCAGGACACCATTTCAGGCAAGCCCATGGCCACCAGTTCCCCACAGCCCTGTCCTACCCAGACATGGGCCTTGCTGAACTGGGGTCCACCAGCCTGGCCAACCCACAGCCTGGTTCCCCTCACCAGGCGTGATCTTTACCCTCACCCAAAGGCCCATGTCCTAGGCTGGCTCCGGCCTGGCCCCAAGGAGGTTCCTGCAGCCCAGGGCTGGGGCTGCCTCCAGCAGTGGGACAAGAAAGCCCTGTCAGCCTGGGCATCCCCCGGCCCTCAGGGAGCCCCCAGCCCTGCAGAGCCCTGACACCTACCAACTTGTGCGACAATTGCACATAAGAGGTTAAAACCACCGGTGTCCGCTTGTCTCCGAGACAAACATTGTGGATAGAGATCCGCAAGGTTGGTATGAGAAGCAGACAAAGGAGGGAGCCTTATGGTGGCAAGACAGCCCCGTTTTGGCTAGAGAATACGGAATAAACAGACAGTTTCTACACAGAATCTTGAAGGTCACGGTGCCCAGAGTGAGACCTTTTGCTTCATTCTCTCTGAAATGGATATTCAAGTTGACACCCCAAAATATGGTAATGAGCCAAAAAAAGTACATGCTAAACATATATGACTATAGTACTCAACTCTCCACCCAAATCATGTTAAATATCACCCCAGGGAGGGAACACAACTAAGGTTAGGGTATAAAGGATAGTGAGGAAGTTATCCCCAGGGGGAGAGAAGAGATTGAAGACCCCAAAGAGGCAATCGACAGACTGTGCTCCTTCTCCTCCTCCACCCAGGATAGGGACGCCTTCTTGGTAAGCATTGCAACTTCACCTTTTTGGTGAAGAATACCTGAGGTAGCATTTTGCTGGCATTACAATCATTTATTACCTCTATTGCAGTAAGTGCATTTATCAACGGCAATTCTGAACTCTTTATATCTGTCAGTTGAATAAACTTTCTATGTTTCAACTTTGCAAAACTGTCCCAGTGAAACTTCTTTGAGGACTCCAACAGGCAAACATTAACTCTGATATGTGGCTATATATAATCCTTTAAACATAAACCGTTGACCAAGTCTGAAACTAAGACTGGACCTAGCCACACCTAGGCTCCTCTCTGAGGAGGAGTTTAGAAAGCAAGGGGGTCTTTTCTGAACCTCGTGACTCAACAGGAGGGCCTCCCTCAGCCACACATCAAACCCATACCCTTTACGCAACAACTTGTTAAAAGTTACACATGCCAAGTATTTCTCTCCTCCCATCAGTTTGCCTTTTGTAACTGCTAGAGCTTGTCTTTCAGATTGTAAACTCTACATGCCAGATTTTACTGCATGGTCCTCCTCTGCACAGCACAGTGAGCTTTTATGCTCTATACAAGTTTATACTGAATAAAAGTATTAATGTGGTTTTTGCAGTAAAGGAGATGTAATTATCTCTTCCTCTCAGATAAGAAACTGAGACAGTGATTAGGTGCCTAACTCTGTCACCAAAGAAGTCATTGGCAGGGCAAGGATGAAACCACGGACTTGCTTGATTTTTCCACCCAGCACCCCTATTTAAAATCTCAGGGATGCACATCTTGCTGATAACATTCATAATGACAGATTTTGGTATAGAAAGTCACAGAACTACAAATCATTAAACAAAAAGAGCGAATGTAAAAGTCCATTTTATGGTAGTGAACTTGAATACGTTAAGGTTTGAAAATTCTATCATTGTTTACATACTCTTATCCTTACCCCCAACCTTTTTGTCAATATATCAAACTGAATTTTAAAGACATGATTATTCATAAGATTATAAAAATAAAATTTCCTAACACTCAAAATAATAGACAATTTACTACATTGAAAGAGAAAGATAGCTTTTCTATTTTCAAGAGGTTTTAACACCCTACAGTTCTTTTTGCTGTATGGACTTTTGGTTACCAATAGAGTAGAGCAGCAAGATGTGACAGACTTAAGCGTTTGAGTCTCTGAAGATATTAAAGTCCGTAATACGTTTGAATGGCTGTGTTTCTGCATTTATACCACTTATTTCACCTCTACTAAAATCCCACACAGATATTATTTCTTAATTAAAATGTAAGTAAAACAATCATCCCCTACCAAGTATCATTTGGAGTAGAGTCTCATGATTAGCTACATACCAAGCCTAACTCTTGCCATTGTTGTAGCTATAATTAATATGCAGATTAATGGTCATTATTTAATATTTGTATTTAGTTTGGATATTTTATATTTTTAATCCACATGGCTAGCTTCTTAGCTTACTTAATTGGCAGTTAAATATTAAGAAAAGTCTATTCCCAAGTCATTATGCAATTGTGCAGAGATCACTAAGGGAGATTTAAAGGC